TTAAAGGCGCAAACCGGAAATGAAAAAGTCCCCTTCGAACTGCACTTGGCAGTCAGCCTGAAGTCAAACAGGATCAGGCCGGCGAGATGTTGTTCGATAAAGACTCATTAAAGAGTTTATACAAATAATTTAAAACGAGATATATAGGACTGGATGCTTTAGAATGGAGTTTTGACGAAATAAAGGATCGTGTCCGCTTTACTCGGCAACTTCACCTTTGATCCAACGTGACAATTGTCACGCAATTGAAACATTTTGCTTTTCCTCAAGACAGTATCGAGATAAAAAACAAAAACCTCATTGGCTTGAAAAAGAATTAAACGCTATTAAATACTGGTCATTATTCTTGTACATTTTATGTTGAAGCCGTCAAAAGAGCCCTTCCTACACCAGAACCGTTAGGCGGTACGATTTCTACAACTGATTTGCATCATGCAAATTCGTGACCTCTGGCCACAGTGTGTCGCAAAGCTTTATGTTTTGCCGGCACGTTTCTGAATTACCCAAATTTTTTATTACATATTATTTTAGTATAAGGACCAAACTTTGTGCCAGCATGTAGTTTGACATGATGCCACACATACCAAGACACGTTTTGAAGGTTTGAAGCTGGTCGATTTTTCGCTTTTTGCAACAAGCATTTGACAGCACTTAGTTAAAAGATCATGTAAATTTTAAAATTAAACCAAAGCTCCTTAAACTGCCACATATAAAAGTCACATTAATTATAATTTGAAGTAAAAACACTCCCGATTTCTTACGAAACATTCTCCTTTAGTACTAGCACGCTAAAAGTTGCTCAATTTTACTGCATTTTTTGCATAACTAATTAGGTAAAAACCCGAATTTTCGTTTTTCTCCATTTCCTCGGACACATTTTGTTTTTCAAACTTTGAAATATTTTTTTTTGAATATATCTCCCTAAAGGAGTTTTCCTGGCAAATTATCAGAATTTTGGATTTTTTTAGCTATTTACGGTCACGGCCTCTTAAGTGTCTAGCGACCGGTTCTGACACGTTTTTGTTATCTCTTTTCTATATCACGTAGGTGTTCTCGGAATCGGTCATTCAGTCGTCTTCTCGTTTCGGATTTTTTTAGATATTTACGGTCACGGCCTCTTAAGTGTCTAGCGACCGGTTCTGACACGTTTTTGTCATCTCTTTTCTATATCACGTAGGTGTTCTCGGAATCGGTCATTCAGTCGTCTTCGCGTTTCGGATTTTTTTAGATATTTACGGTCACGGCCTCTTAAGTGTCTAGCGACCGGTTCTGACAGGTTTTTGTTATCTCTTTTCTATATCACGTAGGTGTTCTCGGAATCGGTCATTCAGTCGTCTTCTCGTTTCGCCAATGTATAACTTTTGGCAGTGAATGGAAGTTTTGCATTGCAGGCGTGTGTATTCAAAAGTCCCGGTTGATCGTTTGTTTGGAGTGCATTTCTGAACAAAAAGTTGCTCATGTTTTATCTATTTATTTTTTCAGATTTGAGTTAAATTAGCGGAGGTTGCAAAAATATTATACCAGTTCCGGGGTGATTTTGAAGTGATTTAGGTATTTTCAGCAAAATGGATTTTGCTACGTGATTGTGAGGGTGAAATCACATGCACCAGAAGTTGAAAGGTTGACCGTAAACAGTAAGCCTGATGAAGTTACGTAAAGAAACATTACACTACTACGTGATATGACGTTAATATGGATAAGAACTAGGAAGAGGCAAGAAAGAAAAAAAAAAAAAACAAAGAAACAAACAACACATATAATCCGCTACACAAACGTAAAGAAAAATATCAAGACCAAGGACAAAGACGAGGAACGGAAGCTACTATCTAATTCATGTGGCTATATGAAGTTTATAGGAAGTACAAAATGATAAAAAGGTCTTTCCAAATTCTGAAAGGAATGTTTTGACAATCTATGACATTTTTTTTACAAACCTTGCCATAAACCGATTCTTCATTTTTAAGCTTTGACGCGAGCGATAAATCTTCCGGAGACTCAAGGGTAGAAAATCTGAACATTTCCTCAAACTGGTTACACTTTTGTCTTTTCAATTCGGGCCACAAAAGTTTTATTGTAATTAGCAAGGTATCGTTAGACGGTTATGCTTTACGTTTTTAGCATATGCCTAGAGGTATGCTTTAATAAATTACTTCTCCACTTTGAACGCGAAGGAAAAACCTGTTTTGGGCTGTCAGGATCTACAGACAAAGCCTCTCAGACAAAGCCTCTACAGACTCTACAGACAAAGCCTCTACAGACAAAGCCTCCGGTAAACGATGTCATTTTACCTTACTGCTGCCAAGGACAACCTTCCAACACGCAATGACAACAGTCCAACGCGTAAACTGTGTTCCTAGCGGTCAATGAAGTTAGAGCAGCATGGATCGATCTTTTACGTAGCCGTAGCGTGTGGGATTAGCCCTTAATCCTCTTACCTACCAACCGCGCTCGACTTATAAATATCCTGATGTGATTATGCAACAGTTCAGTTGACCTCAGGCCTTGCTCTTGTAAGCTCCTCTTCCCATTAAATGTATAGCTTTAAATATATACTTGGCCTCCACTCTTCCTTTCGCCTCCGATAATCGCACATGGTGTCAGGAGTGGGATCCTACAGCAGGAACAAGAAGTAGCGGAAAAGAAAGTTGTTTCCGACCTCATTTCACATCGCGTGAATGAATTCAAACGCTCAAGATCCAAACGAAGAAATATTCGAGGAATCAAGCACGCCAGTCACGTCACCACCCACAGACCCAGTGGAACCGAGTTCTTCAACGGCTTCACTACAGACGGATAACCCACAAAGTGGANTTTTTTCAGATTTGAGTTAAATTAGCGGAGGTTGCAAAAATATTATACCAGTTCCGGGGTGATTTTGAAGTGATTTAGGTATTTTCAGCAAAATGGATTTTGCTACGTGATTGTGAGGGTGAAATCACATGCACCAGAAGTTGAAATGTTGACGGAAACAGTAAGCCTGATGAAGTTACGTAAAGAAACATTACACTACTACGTGATATGACGTTAATATGGATAAGAACTAGGAAGAGGCAAGAAAGAAAAAAAAAAAAAACAAAGAAACAAACAACACATATAATCCGCTACACAAACGTAAAGAAAAATATCAAGACCAAGGACAAAGACGAGGAACGGAAGCTACTATCTAATTCATGTGGCTATATGAAGTTTATAGGAAGAACAAAATGATAAAAAACTCTTTCCAAATTCTGAAAGGAATGTTGTGACAATCTATGACATTTTTTTTACAAACCTTGCCATAAACCGATTCTTCATTTTTAAGCTTTGACGCGAGCGATAAATCTTCCGGAGACTCAAGGGTAGAAATTCTAAACATTTCCTCAAACTGGTTACACTTTTGTCTTTTCAGTTCGGGCCACAAAAATTGTATTGTTATTAGCAAGGTATCGTTAGACGGTTATGCTTTACGTTTTTAGCATATGCCTAGAGGTATGCTTTAATAAATTACTTCTCCACTTTGAACGTGAAGGAAACACCTGTTTTGGGCTGTCACGATCTACAGACACAGCCTCTCATTAGTTTTACCGCTAATGCCGGTAAACGATGTCATTTGACCTTACTGCTGCTAAGGACAGCCTTCCAACACGCAATGGCCACAGTCCGACGCGTAAACTGTGTTCCTAGCGGTCAATGAAGTTAGAGCAGCATGGATCGATCTTTCACGTAGCTGTAGCGGCTCCTGAGGAGGGTAACTGGTATCGTTAACTAAGTGCTAACAATGCTCTCGACTACTCCCTCATGTTTTAAGTGTCAGTGGTTATCTTTTGGCTTTGTCAAATCTCTCAACTTGTGGAGTAAAACGTGTTTCTGTGTTTCCTGAGGGGGACGTTGGGGTTGCAGTGTTGCGGTGATGATCCGTGTTTTTTAATGCGGGGAAGAACAACTCACATCGCGATATTGCGGTGATCTCAAACCTTACAGTGCACAACGTTCGCGATTTCAAATCAACGGTATTCGGTGAAGAAAACCATTTCCGGTGTTGCCGTTTATTCCTAAGCCCTTGTAAAGACTAGGCTCCGGTTGTTCAAAGGGCGGATAACGCTATCCAACTGATAAATCGCTATCCAGCGGATAAGTGTTACTAAAACGTACTGCGCTATCCACAGGATAGAGATTTATCCAGTGTATAGCGTTATTCATCCTTCGAACAACCGGGGCTAGATCTTTAAACCTGTGGTTAAAAATTGGCAATACTTCTGAGTAAATATTTAACAAATATTAGCTAATTGACCCCAGGCTGTGTTCATTTATATTTTGCTTGACCTTTGGATCGTTACCACACGCTTTATCGGCCAGACAAAGACCAACGCGTGGTAAATGAGAGAAGGAGCTGAGCTCAGAGCTACCTTTAATGAAGGGGGGCATCGGAATCTGTTTGAAACCGCAAACCTGTAGGAAAAATCATCCAAAACCGCAAATCCCCAAAAACAATTCTATCAAAACCGAAAACCGAAAACTGCATGCAAAGCAGTTTATTTTCACCTCAGTACATTTTCACCTCACGGTTATCAAAACCCTAGCCGATCCGATACAGTTGTGAGAACTGGAGCTAACTACAATAATTTCAAGACAGTATATGAGAATGCTATAAACTTGGCAGAAGCCCTCGTGTCTTCTCGCATCTAAACAGGCGGCCCAAGCGTACTAAGTGGGAATTCGGGTCTAAGGTTATTAACGGGATTACAAAGTTTAAGCAGTGATTCATCTAACTGCACGTTCCAAAGTAGTGTCAAATGGTGTGGCTATATGAAGTTTATAGGAAGTACAAAATGATAAAAAGGTCTTTCCAAATTCTGAAAGGAATGTTTTGACAATCTATGACATTTTTTTTACAAACCTTGCCATAAACCGATTCTTCATTTTTAAGCTTTGACGCGAGCGATAAATCTTCCGGAGACTCAAGGGTAGAAAATCTGAACATTTCCTCAAAC